CAATAATATTTTATTATTGTTGGAGTATGATGTTACCCTTTTCATGTTGTTCTCAATCTGTCTTGTTTCACCTGCATTTGTTACTTYAAGTTGAAGACACTGCAAACAACAAAAATACAAATAGTTTTCTYCATAAAAAATGGCAGATACTGTATTGTTGACAAATAAACAGCAAAGATGGACAGCTACTACAACAATGTATATTAACCATCCTACCTTCAATATCATCTCTTCAATGCTATCTTCCTGTGACTGCATAAGTTCATGTTTCTCAGGATGAAGTGGTTTGATAACCAATGGTTTAGGTATATCGTTTTCTTCKTTGAATGCAGTAGGAGTCTTGAGATGTGGTTCATCAGCCAAWAGTGAACAAAATGTGGTTCCTCCTTCTGCTCCTCTTTGYTGCTGTACCTCTACTAACTGAACCATGTAAGCTTTATCAATGACAGCTTCACTCACACTCAAKGCATCCTCTTCTGCTGCCAGATCTAGTTGCTGAAGAAGTTTGCTGGAATGAACAGTKAGTTTGGTTAGCAATGTTYGCTAGCAGCTGCAACTTAATCTCTTAAAAGAAACATTGAATTCACAAGCATTGCTTCAAAACTTATACTTATACGTACAATAAAGAATAAATATGCAATGAATTTCTAACATACAATATACATACCTCATGCTGTACACAGGGATACCAAAAGACTGTACAAACAAGACTAGTTGKGACGGTACTAAATCAGTCATTGCTGCATCAACAACACGATGWGAAGAAGCTCTTATCATTCTAAGTCTTAACCATTCTGGTAATAACATGGCTTCTTCTCCTGTATCAGTCAAATACACTCTGATATGACCATTTTCTGGACACCAACAATCCAGTAAGGMWMGGTAGGTGAGTGGATTCTCTGGAAATACAAGCATATTTTACACCAACTAGATGTTTAAACTTTAGCAGATAAATAAACCTAGTGGTTTGTCCAGATGTGAAGCAGGCTAAATAAACCCARAGGAGATTGAAATCTCTTTACATTAACACAATGCAGCATCTGTCCATGTTGAATAACATATTTCATTGAGATATGTTTCATACAATCTTTTTTACAAACTGTTCATAGACAAGGTCAAAAGTCATGAGGGTTTTCAGATCACTAAGAAAGTAATGTGGTCAAGGAACATCATTGGGAATATTACCTGTAGGTTCAGGCCATGTAAGCAGTAAAATAGATGCTTGTATTACAAGGGCATGCATGGTGGCAGCTTTGCCTGGATATARGGTATCTTTAGACCACTGAGCAAACAACTGGTCCTGAGTATTACTCTATAAAAAAATAACATGAAAATAAAATATCAGTGTATATCTCACTCTACATTCTATCACAAATAGTAAACCAGCTTTCACAAGATTGCTGAAAGAACTGATGCCATGGTAACAAGCTATGGTAACAGTAGTCTCACCTCAAAGTAAGAATTGTCCTGTACAGTCATCGCATGTTCAACAGCACATTGGTACATGCCAAGTAGTGCTTGAAAGGTCTCTAGAGCTGCAGGCGATCCCTCAAGAACTTGATTGAAAATAGTTGGTCTTGCTATCACTAACTGAGAAATCTCCTAAAATATCATTACAAGCATTTAAGTGAGTAGACATTTATAAAATATAGTCAAATGAACAAGTAAATGATACACAAAAGGACATAATGAAAGGTAATGATGAATAGGTAAAGGAACAGATGAAAGAATGAGGGCATAAATGCATCAATTAATGAACAAATGAATAAAAAATAGGAAGTGAAAGGGAATAATGAAGATTTTAAATCAGGGTGATTACTTGCTGTGTTCTTACCAATAATGTGTCAGTGAATTCTTCTTCTGTTGGACCACCAGAGTGTTGAGATAAAAACACCARGTAAGCTTGAAGTCGCTGTGGCTCAATCTCTACTTGACAACACTATATTAAATGAAAACAACCAAGATTCACATTAGGTACTAAAATTACAGCTGATCCTGTTAAAGAAATATGAATGAGCAGATAAGATAATGAATCAATGAAAGAAGAGCAAACTGACAGATTGATGAACAAATCAATGAATTGTKGATTGATTTGGTAGACAGTAGATGGATTGGATATCATCATTTTATATTCACCTGTCTTAATGCAAAGCAGCAAATTGGTTTAACGATGTCAAAGTGAGGCAGTCTTGGAAGRTGAACAAGAAGCCATTTCAGTTCATTAGGTAATGTAGATGTGGTGCTCTCTTGGAATGACATTTCTTCTATTGCATTCACTAATGACACATCATCTGAGAAACTGACAACTGATACATCATCATCATTGGTGGAGCTCTCTTGAGAAAGAACCAACTCAAGACCCTGATGGCAACAGAGATAAAACAACTTAATTAGTGCAAGAAATAAAGTGATGGTTAGTTAGTATAAATYAGACATAGTATACCTTGAGGGCAGCATTTCTCTCTTTGGTGATCCCAGATGATAAACGTCTCATGAAATATTCCAATACTTCTACAGTAGCATCACCATCGGCTGATGATCCATTTAACAGACAACGAAGACGTAACAAGACATGTCTCTGGTTATTCTACAAATAGTAATCACAACTTCAGTCTACTTTGTGTCATCTTGGGCTTCCTGTGCTAACAATATGAGTGAGAACGGGGAGAGTAAACAACCGTTTCATAGGTAAGTATTATTAAGCTATATCTGTTTGATATCAAGATGGAGAAGTTCAATTTTAGTCACCATTTTTTTGTTAGTTAATTCTTCATTTGCTTTTTCTGACGACTGCTGTTCCATCAGTAGAAACTCACAAAGACATTGAACTGGCAAAACATCTAGTGAACCCTCTGAAGACTGCACTAACTCAGCTAGCCACGGCATGCTTTGTGATGTTCCCTATAGTAAAACCAATAAAAGTTTAGACTATAAAACAAACTACAGGTCAATTAAAGGTTGAAGAAGACTTTTTGTTCTTGTCTATTAAATKCAAATGTACATAATTTTGTGTTATATAGAGTACAWGGGCAACAAGAACAATTTTATTTGCTAAAAWCCAAAGTTCGGATTATGYACTTRWGATGATCTGTATCTAAAAAATGTTAGTTTCTTAAACTCAAAAAAGAGCTATCAATATTTGGTTATTAGATGTTAACCTGTCTTTGTATAATATCCAGTAAAAAGTCTGGTTGACGACTACGRCAAAGCTTTTGTCCCAGTTTTAGTGAGCTATTAGCTGTCTTGAGTTCATCCATRAAAGACTGTGGGGGTCTTCTTGCTGGRCCACTGTTAGTTAAGACAATTAGTGTCAGCAATATGACTTCATAGTTACATATATAAATCACTGAATGAGTACATCTGATTTAAAAAAAAGGAATTAATACTGGACAATGGCAATAAATGAATGAATGAAAGGACAAAGGAAGGAATAAATGAGTAAATGATAGGTGCATACTAGATGCATGCTAGTAATAGTTAGTGGCTATAATACTTACACTGGGTCCATTGTGATTAACTGACTCAACAACAAACTGTTGCTTTCTGTGATGTTTACTCCAGTTGTAGCAGCAGCAAGATGAGACTCAAACTGAAGAATTTCTTCTTTTTCAATCTGTACTAGCTGTTGTTATAACACAAGAAAACATTACATGACTCTTATAGAAACATGCAAATTCAATTTATGTATTAGTCATTTATGTATTAGTATTTTTGTAGGAGGTGAGTTTTAGAAGTGGTTAGTTTAGTCAACAAAGGCATTTCCAGGTACATTATGACACAATGTTTCATGAAACAAAATGAAAATCAATGGTCAGCAAAGCTGAGCAATGTTTTATGTAGAGGAACAAACCTGTCTGTCTTCTGCAATCATTTGTTCTTTTTCTTCAGTAGTCGATGCAATAGTTGGAGGTGGAAAGACACAGTTACTGAGATCAAATAAAWGGGGATTAATTTTATGAAAAAGGTGTATAATAARTGTTGATAGTTTTATCATAAATCTTACTTGGTCATGATCATCTCCATCAGACTTTTTAACATCGGGAAATTCTCCCATCCTGACTGACCTGCATGGTACATGATTGTATAACATTGTATAGAATGATAAATAAATAATTCTCAATTCTGTACACAAAATAGATATATGTAGCTTTAATGTAAAGCATCAAATAACATCACTAAATAAATGCTAATTTGCTAATATCACTAAATAAAATAATACTGCTGTCCTACCAATAGAGTCAGGGTTCAGAGATGCTACTATGGTCAACAGCATCCATGCCTTCCAGTAYAGATTGGAAATGGCCAGCTTAGGAGGGATATAACCAGAYGGTAGTTGGATGTCTTTGGGGTGATGATAGGCACATAGATTTAACATAGCATCTAGTAACTCTTGTCGTGTGACTTTAAGCTGTGTAACACCTTAAAAAGTAACAAATGACATAAGCTTGTGATCATGAATAGCTATTCCACATCCCTACCCTTATAGGGAAATTCTTCCCCTAGTTATAATAAAACTAACCTGTTTTAATAGTAGCAGCCCTTCGTACTATCCTATCTGCGATGTCAAGAGCTTCAGGGGCATTCAAAGGCAGTTCATTAGCTAACCCTATGATTATAATTCTCATTAAAGTGTCCTCTTGAACTGGAACCTCACTTGAAAGGCTGTAAAATAAACTGAACATACAAAAAAAAAAAATCACCATTAGAAGAGATCAACAACCATAGGCCTATTGAAATGGATTGAAAAGCTGTGTCTTTAGCACACCTTCTATCACATTCTTGTGGCCAGCCATCCTTGGTACAGTAATTGTCAATGGTTTCCAGGTAAAGTACCTTTTGTAGACTAAACAGAAATGTAGTACAAACAAATAATTAGTAACATCCATGTAAAACAATAAGGTCAAGATGAAGATATTTAGTGCTTTATTTATACAGTGTATGTATGATCCATATTTTACAAACATACCAAGTATGAAAATCCTGTCCAGTTACATTAAACATTTTTGGTACAACAGTATGCAGCCAATACACGCAATCCCTTTGAATGGTTGATACATTCTTTTGGAATTCTTGCAAGACTGACAGACCTAGTTATTTAGATTAAAAAAAAACAAGTATAATTTCAGGAAAGCTTTTATTTGCTCAATATACAGGCTTATAGATCTGATATTAAAGAAATTAGTACCTTTTGTATCTCCTCTCTTAAAATCAGCATAGCGCTCTTTGACAGCAGGTGTGATAGATAGCATAGTTGCCATGGCAATCAGATCAGCCAGAGACATGAACATTCTTTCCTATGGATGAAAGACAATTGTTATCATAAATTTATTTAAATTCAAAACATGATTAATGAAACAAAAATTGTTATTCTGTACCTTTACAGATCCATCAAGGTCTTTGAATTGTGAGTCTGTCCTTTCTTGCATAAATCCTCGGCATAAAGCCACAAAGTTTAAAGGACCATATCTCAGAAAACGTACTACTTCCCTTAATAAAGCTCTGCATGCTCTTAAATAGTCTTCTCTGAAAAAGAGTGTATGAATACTATTTTATACAGCATTATTGATTGTTAAGCAGCACATTTTTGTTTTGGTTGCTTCAAATAATGTATTGCTTGAATATCAAATATGATTCTCTCATAGTACTTACTTATTCATTAGTAAATCCTGAAATACCATTGCCAGTATCTGAAAGTAAATAAATTACTCAATTTAAACATCTTGTTGGATGGTACCAGGTATTATTCTGTTGTATTCTGCTCTGTTGTGTTGTGTTATRTTTTTTTGTGTTCGATTCCATTGTGTTTTGTTCCGTTCCATTATGTTGTGTTCTGGTTTTTAGCCTGTGCCTGGGTCGTGAGGTACATTGCCAGTACAGTCCATAAACCAGGCTGAACATTGAGAGACACTTTGATAGATATCCCRATTCAATCACAAATTAGAATTATACCTTTGATGAAGCTTCTGGTTTATAYTGAAACATTGTTGCCAACAGGTTCATGTTGTTAGGGTTGCGTGCATTAGATAACTCATTATAGATGACATGCTTCATGACTGTAGAAAGATTCTCAGTATGTTGACTTAACAGTTCCCTACAATCACACAAAGGAAGGAACAGTAGGTATAAAAAAAGATGCCAACATTGTAAATCCAGTGGTGACTTATACCTTATACAGGAGACATAATGATTTGAAAGTAACTTCGTCTTTAGTCTCATCTTTATCAAATTACTAATGATTTCAATATCTTCATGGCTATGACTGTTGCAATTCAAACATAGTGAGGACAGAAGCTCTTGAGCAGGACGAGTCAACTGAAATAAAAGATTTATGTTGTAATTATGTTAACAGTCATCAGTATCATTGTCATCACTATCATAAAAAGATAAATAAAACAAAAGATCAGGGTCGACTGGGACTTAAAAGGCAACAAACTATAATCCACTCRTGACARCATCATCATAGTGAAGATTACTATCATAGTAGTTATTTGTAATTAATAGTAATTTTGCTAACCTTTGGGTTTTGCAACCAAACTTCAATCCTCTGAGACACAAGAAGCCTGACTTGATTGTTACCACATGTCACCATAAGAAGACGTAATAAATTCCTKGATATATTGTCAACAGGCTGCCTTCGATTCAATTGTTCTGTGACAATCTCTAAAAGGTATGTTGATACATTGTACTTGACTGATGGCGAAGTGAACCTAAAAACAACCACAAAGATTGATAACAAGAAAAACAATTTAGTAATAATCTGAAATTAAGACATAAAGTGATTATCTGTCATTCAATGTTTAACACTTCTGACCTTGGAATAACAGATGTTGCATCTTCTTCATTTGAACTCAAATCTATTTCTTCAGTGATTGTGTCTTCCCCTTCTTTTGATGGCATAAAAATAGTTGTAGTGGTAGCAGCTACRTAACATGAATACAAAACATTTGACAAACTTTTACAAAACATCTTTCCCAGCCAACATTACACAGCTACTCTTTGATAAGTTGTATGTAAACATGCTAGTACATGTACCTGTAACAGGCAGGGTGGGTAACTGTTCACTCTTGGACCCTGGATCACTACTCTGACGGCTGATTGTCTTTGGCTGTTGCTTGGTACCAAATGCCGTGAGAATGTTATCAACAAATATCTGACAAGCTTCACTATCAACCCATATACGATCACCCAGGGAGTCTTCTACAAAAACCTTTWTAAAGTGTAAAGTATTACAAATGAATAGATAATATAACCAATATAGAGCTATACTGTTAGGGTTTTATTGTAAAATAACGAATTCTACTTGACAAAATTACTTGAGCAGTAAATATATATCACTCTGATTACCTAATGCACAATTTTTGTTACCTTGACAAATGTTTCTGGCCAGTCCTCAGTATCTTGGAATATGTACAATAGTATATTAACAGTCATTATAGGTACCAATGAAGCCAATGCTTTGTTGGTTTTGATGTTCAGTATGCTATCTCGCTTAAGTAAAGATGTCAAAGCCTGCAAATCAAACCCATGTCATTGGTGAATGACAGGTTTCTATTTATATCAATTGTGTCTTCACAATTAGCTTTAYAAAGATGGTGGAAACTAGTGGTAAACAAGTGTGAGCTGYGACTGCATTTTCATGACAGTTGTGCTAAAGGATAAATTATAACACTGTAAAAAAGCAGGCAAAACAACTTARTGATGTTTTGGACATTAAACGTATGAATGGTAGCGAGAAAATGAAAAAAAAAATTAATTATCATGATAAGGTTAAGTCTGTAATKATGTTATATGGTATATTGCGTTTTGGGTTTATCTTCAATACCATGCCATTACATGATTTATCTATGATGTGCCTTTACAATGTAAACAGTGACCCAATAGTTTATTTTCTCAATTCAAGGTAATGTTATTATTTYTAGATACATAATCACCTCAATAACTCTAGAAGATGCAAAACATTCTGGCTTTGTTTTAGCAAGATATAAAAGACTAAGATAAGTCACAGGGTCAGGCTTGYTTTTATTTGTCTTGAGAGTTTTTATTGCACCAAGCAACAAACCATCAACTCTTGTCCTGTCTTCATTGGTCTCTGCTTCTAACACAAGTCTTTCTAAATCTGAGGGATTAACTGTAAAAATATATCTAGTTTACATACCACAATAAAAGACATTTACTTCTTTGAAAATGCCTGGATTTTCACTTGCAAATCAAATAGAAACTGAGAGGAGACATGAGCTATTGAAAGTCACCAAATGGAGAAAGAAGCAGCGAWGAAAATGTGAGAGAAGCACTGAAACAAGCGCAAAGAAAAGTGGTAATGAAAGAAGAGTAAAAAATGAAAACTTTTATCTCTTTTATTCACCTTCCTACTCAACAGTTTCCTTCAGTCATTTTTATTTTGCCATCCCAGGTAAAAGGGAAATCAAAAGGAAAACAGATGTGTGAGATAGTCCTTCTCACTTCACTGATGAAAATTAACCTTTAAGTAGCTACTTCATTACCTCACAATCACTTCTTTAATTACCTTCAATGGGAGATATATGTGAAGAAAAGTATTGTGCACTGCTACTACTTGGTCTTCTTTCACCCTCCCCTCCCTTAGTGCTATGAGGAGAATACTGCGGAGAATTGAGGACTTTGGTTCTTTTTGGAGTTCCAAGGGTTGAGTTGGGAGATTCTCGTTTTCTTTCACTAGATCCAAGGCTAATGCTTTTTTTGGGTAGTTGTACTGGTATTGGCTTGGGTGCTTGTATTGGCTTTAGATCAGAATCAGAATTTCTTGCCCCTTGTGTTTTTGGACCTGTATTAAAAATATAATTAAATAACAAAAACAAAACAAAAGAACAACATTTTACTTACTTAAATGAAAKGTTGAAATGGTAAATTCCTAAAATGTCGCTCATTACATTGATAAGCTAAATTCTGGCGACGATCATGAATCACATATCAATATTTTGAAATTAAAACATGAAGATCTATAGTGAATATCTTACCAAGAGCAATGAGGTCCCCAGTTGGGTGATGACCTGCAAGAAAATAATGTCCATGATGACAACCAGAAAATACTTAATAATGAGAAACAATAACTTCTGTCAGTTTCTCTTACTTCTAACTCCTGGCTTAGGTCTCCTTTGAGCAGGTTGTTTACTCATTTTACAACAAAACGAAGATTTTCGATATACACTGAAAGGAGGCCGCCATGTTTATTGGAAGTCGCAGGATTCTCGTCCGATTTGTACACAGGCATCCCAAACTCGATAATCTGCAAAGCAATGTGCCCCACCACACATAAAACGTTGAGAACGCACATGTTTAGGAGTGGCGCAGCCAGTTGCGTAGATGATGAATTACATTGGTATATATAGCAAACAATTTTAAGACAATAACTAGGTCGGTGTAATGCTAGTATATACCGATTTTAGTCTTACCATACCTAACAAAACGTTGACTTTAACGGGCCGATTTTTTCGGTAGTCCAGGGGACTCTGGTATAATATAATATCATATAATATCATGATTATCATATGATTATCTTTACATACCAAGTTAACGGCTTAAAATGTTTTGTTATATATATCAAGATAATCACTTATTTAGCCGTTATCCCGGGGGGCGGGGCCGTTATATATAGCCCACATGAGCAAGATTGTAAAGCTATATATGTCATATAGGTCCATATATACAAGGAAGCAATTTCTGGGGCCATATAGAGGTCTAGATTGCCCAATAAAAGCACATAGGATTTTAGAATTGTTCTGTAATAGACCGAAAAGGCATGAAATAACACTAGTGGAGTGAAATAAAAATAGACAAACGCGGGATTGAATGTAGCGTGCTTTTGTGTACTGATTGCACGAAAAAGCAAAAAAGCTTGAAAACGCTCATCACACTCACGGAAAGAATCTTAGTAAAAGTCTGTTTGCTCTATATTACATGCATATGACAAAATGCTTCTTCTCTTAACGGCTTCTTTGACGGTTAATGAATAGCAAGAGGTGTTAAGCATCCAGATCGTCTTTTGTTTCGAGATATAAAAGAAAACCTTTGTTCTCCTTTTTCAAAAGAACAGCTTTGACAAAAACTATAATTAAGTTCACGTTGACTTTACGTCTTGTATATACATCCGGGACCCCCCGTTCCGGGCATAAATTATAACTCTCCGATCAAAAATACACCGCGATGAGTGACGGACGGCTTGAAACCATCGCTGCTTCCAATCAGTGGCATCATTCACAAACACCCCAGCCTGTGTGTGTACCAATCTATGCTTCATCTATATTTGAGTTTCAGAATGCAGATCAAGGAGCAAGAGTGAGCGCAGGGCAGGTGAAACTATAAATCGTGGCGTGACCCCACTATTACAYAAGACCGGCAAACGCCTTCAAACTTTGCTTCAACATCATTGATCATTGATGTTGAACCTACAGAGTTTAGGTGGACGGCGATATAGTATGGGTGGACATCAGAAGTACATAACCAGTGGTTATGTACTTCTGGTGGACATATTGAAAGGGCGCAAACGTTTCAACTTTCAACTACATTTGCATRTTGTCAAAAAGCCGCGCACTGTTGTCGAAAAACAAAACGCGATCAATTATCGTTCAAAAAATCGTTCAATGTCGAAGAATACAAAAGGCAAAAGCGGTTGTGCCTTAATGCAGAAAAATCCAGATGGYGGTACCAATTCCTCCCAAATATCCTTCTTACATAGGAAAGAACCTATACTGAATATGATCGAACCCGATGATAATGCATTAAAAGTCTCCGGATATAAAATTGCTCCTGCAAATCGGATATTGATCCACGGAAAAGATTCTAGGAAAGACTTTTTCTGCAATCTGGCTGTTAACAGATTACGGAATGTAAAAGAAAGAGACAATTTGAACAAGGACACATTCCATGCAAATTTTGTTCATGCCAGCATGATACGGTGGTCGGTTTTCGACATGCAAATTTTTTTAGTCTAGAGTAGACAAGAAAATCCCTTACCACGTTAGACAGGCGGCGAGGAGGTACTAAGGGGGTTCGGAAATTTTTGAAATCTTAACTCTCGGGAATGTCATTTCCAGCGTTTTGAGGCGTTTATCAAAGACATTTTTACCGCACACACGGTCAGCGATATTATCAATATCACGCTCAGTTTTTACACAATTTTTATAGAATATGTATGGTGAAATTTCATAAGGAGCCAGCCCCCCCTGCTCCACGGTCCATGTTAAACCTATGATGTCAAGCCATTATTTCAACTATCCTATACTTTGTGATGGGGTTGCCACTTAAAAAAACTTTTTTGTATCTCTTGAATGCTTTTTGGTAGCCTGCGTTTCATCCCAGCGGCTTGGTACAACTATAGAATACCCCGCACCTCGGACAACTGAAGCGTAGCTGGCTATGCGTTGACGCGTAGCTGCCTTACTAATAGACATTTTTTTGGTTTTTGGCTACGCGTCAACGCGTACAATCTACACAGGTATATCGATACACCATTTTTGACGCGTAGCACGCGTTGCCACTACATCTAAGAATTTCTCGTTCTCTAAAGATATGGATAAGTATATAGACACGTATACCATAAGATCATTTTTGACGCGTAGCCACTTCATATCAGAATTTCTCGTTCTCTAAAGATATGTATAAGTATATAGACACAGGTATACCATAAG